GTGCCAAAAAACTTTTTATTCCAGGAAGCTACCAATCAAGACTGGACAACGGACCGAGAACGAGCCATCAGCATCAGTAAACAGAGCACAAGTGCCAGGAAAAGACAGAGCCTTCAGGATAAACTAGCCAAACTAACGCACCAAAATGACAACAGCAGAGTAGATACCTGGATAAGAAACCTCTCAGACAGGAAACTGACAGACACAGAAAAGCTGTTCTCATTCGTGGACTCAACTGCAACTACAGAGATACCAACAAAACAGAATTCCTAGCCAAACTGGAAGCCACACTGAGGACCAACCGCATCAATGAAGAAACACAATAAGTCATAAGACAGACAGTGATCCCGACACTGACCAGAAAAAGCGAACGCAACACCCCCAACACAGCTGAAAGGAAAGCCCTAGAAGGACTGAAAAAGGACAAGAACATCACAATTCTACCAGCAGACAAAGGATGCATGACAGTAATACTAAATAAACAGGACTACCTCTCCTAACTAGCAGACAAGAACACAAGTGCAGACAGACCCGACACCACAACTGGGCAGCAAGATTCTTATCACACTAAAGAGGCTCAAAAGACCAGACAAATCAACAAAACAGACTTCTTAAGAATGAAACCTGAAGGAACTAACACCCCCCAATTCTACGACCTCCTGAAAGTACACAAACCGGAAGTACCCCTCAGACCCATAGTTTCCCTGCCAGGCAGGTCATCACATAGATTAGCCAAGGAGCGACAAAGGAGACTAAAGCACCTTGTTAACAAGTCACCCCATTCAATCCACTCAGCCCAAGAGTTCCTCAATTCCATCAACAACATAAGAATAGATGATGAGACAATGGTATCATTTCACGTTACTGCCCTATTCCTATCGATAGACATACCACTAGCAAGAGAAACAATGACAGCACTACTAAAACAAGAACATGACCCCAATGACACCATCTCCACAGATAATATGCTGAAGCTACTGGACCTATGCCTCACCACCCACTTAACCTTTAACAGCCAAATATATGAACAGATCCATAGGACACCCATGGGATCACCTATCTCTGGACTAGTAGTTGAAGCGGTGATGCAGAGACTTGACAGTATGGCCCTTCCGCTAATCCAGCTAAAACTATGAGGACGCTACATGGACGACACCTTCGTCGTTATTAAACGGACCAAACTAGAGGAGACACACGAACTAGTAAACAACATCTTTACCGGAATCAGATTCACCAGAGAAGAGGAGAAGAACAAACAGCTCCCATTCCTGGACGTCATGGCAGAACGCTGGACAAATGGGGAATTCCTAACAAAGGTACACAGGTAAGCCACACACACTGACCAAGTACTGAATTTCAACAGCAACCAGCCTAACACACACAAACAAAGTTGTGTGAGAACATTATTTAAAAGGGCAATAATACACTGCAGCAGCACAGAGCTACGCCAAGAAGAAGAAGAGTACCTCTTCTAGGTATTCAAAAACAATGGATGCCCAAAAAACTGGGTCAGAAGATGCATATCACACGAATCACACCAGGAAGATGCTACACGCCCCAACATACTCATCATGCTACCTTACATCAGGAACACATCTGAACTGACCACAAGACTCCTACGACCACTGGGCATTAGAGGGGCACATAAACCCACGTCAACCCTTCACCGGCTGCTCACCTGAACCATAAACCCACTACCCACTATGGACAGGACCAATGTCATATACAAGATTCCCTGCAGAGACTGTGACAAACACTACATCGGACAAACAGGAAGGAAATTAACCACAAGGGTACACGAACATCAATTGGCAACAAAAAGACACGACCAATACTCATTCATCTGTATCCATATGGATAAGGAGAAGCACCAATTTGATTGGGATAACACCAGGATCCTGGGACAAGCAAAGCAGAGACAAGCATGGGAATTCCTAGAAGCCTGGTACTCCACTAAGAAAGCCAGAAGTAAACATGTAGAGCTCGACCCCATATACACTCCACTGCGAAGGAAAACTGGAAGTGAAGTAATCCAGCCCATCGGACACCAGAGTTCAAATAACAGGCGGGAAAACACAACAGCGCTTCATCGGAGGCTGCACTGATGATTTATCCAGCAGGGTAATGAAACGCCTACGGAACAACGAACCAGTTTGGCGAGCCAACCAACCTCAACATCCACAACCTGAGCTACAAATCTACTCTAAAACCTTAGAGGTGCAATATTAACTACCTTCCAGTCATCAGGCATCTCACCCGTAGTTATAGACGATGCAAATATTTCTGCAATTGTTTCTTATTCTTACCAGCCTTACCCTTCACTCTAACAGGAACAAAATGCCTCTGAAATCTCGTCATCAGACCCTTGAATGCCTCCCACTTGTCAGATGTCCTTTTACCTGTGAACAGTCAATGCCAGTCAACTTCTGAAGGTTCTTGTCTCGTACTATTGAAATTTGCCTTACTCCAATTAAAATCTTAAACTTTTATGGAAGGCTTATCCTTTTCTATAATCATTTTGAAACTAATAGAATTATGATTACTAGACCCAAAGTGTTCTTCTACTTTTACTTCAGTCACCTGCCCTGCCTTATTGCCCAAACGAAGGTCTAGTTTTGCTCCTTTTCTAAGTAGGAGCATCCATATAGTGAAAAAGAAAGTTTTCTTGAGCACATTTGACAAATTCTTCACCATCGAAACCTTCATTGCTATAGTAGTCCCAGTAAATGTTTGGAAAATTAAAATCCCCCCATTATTACAACTTTGTTATGCTTACATATATCTGAGATCTCCCCACATATTTGTTTCCCAATTTCTCTTAATATAGGCCTCCCGATAATAACAAATCCCATCAGTGATCTTTCTTTCTTATTTGTAATTTCTACCCAAATATTTTCACTGGATGATTTTTCAGAAATATCTTCCCTAGTTACAGCAGTAATGTATTCCTTAATCAAAAGCACCACCACAGCCCCCTTTCTTGCCTCATTTTCTATCCTTTCTATAGCATCTAAAACCTGGAATATTGAGCTGCCAGTCTTGTCCATCTCTTAGCCAAGTTTCTGTAATAGTTGTGACGTTCCAATCTCCTGTTCTTAAACATGCCCTGCATTCATCAGCCTTACCTGTTGTTTAGTTGTTCAGAGTTACGACATGCTCTGACTCTCTCTTGTCTGTCTTTTTTAATTGACGTGTTCTCCTCACATTCAGAGCCTTCCCCATCAATCCTTCCATTTACACTGCTGCTTGAAATTTCCATCAGTCTTTCCATTTACACTGCTACTTGGAATTCCTCCACTCACCTCTATCAGTATAAAGTCTCCCTTAATTGAATGAGCAAATCTCCATGCTAAGATGTTGGTCCCTTTCCAGTTTAGGTTAGGCACATCCTTTTTGAACAGGTATTTTCTATCTATCCCAAATCACGTTTCAATCCTTTTTGACTTTTATATATTAGTTTAATGAACTGATTGGCTAGCTTGGCCATTTCAGAGGACATTTAAGAGCTAACCACATTACTGTGTCTGGAGTCACAGGTAGATTAGACTGTTTCCTTGACATTCATGAACCAGATGGAGCTTTACAACAATCAGTTTCACAGCCACTTGACTGGGACTAGCTTTTAATTCCAGATTGATTTATTAAATTTAAATTTCACCAGCTGCCATGGTGGGATTGGGATCCATGTCCCTAGAGCATTAGGCTGGACCTTTGGATTACGAGTCCAGTAACATTACCACAACACCAATGAATTCTGTGAAGTGATTGCTTTACTCCAGATCAGATCTACGAAGATCTTTGTCCAGTTGCAATATCATGACACACCTTTTATGTACTAGTCCAGTGAGATAGATGCCAGTGTTCCATTAGTCCTTTGATTTTAATTTTTGTCCCTCTCATATTTTTTGACAGAATCTTCCCGATGGAGTGCTTCACAACTAATGAATGCAGTTGTTTAATACTTCTGTCTTGGGAAGCAAATACGAGTTCCCACCCTAACCAATTGAGCTTGCTAGTGTTTGGTCATCTCCATTGGTGAGCAGCTGCCCCAAATGGCATTAAACGAACAAAAATGTGCAGAAGAGAAGCAAGCCCTTTAAATGTGTCTGAAATTGGGCCTATTGGAATCAACTATTCCTCCATGTTTATATTGATTCCCCTTAAGTGTAACCATATGGTTTGCTTCAGCTACTTATGGCTTCTGTATTCTAACCATACTCTCACTGACATTTTCTTTGAATTCCCTGATGGATGCAGTCACCCATTTATTACCTGTATTGTTGGTCTGATCTATTTGTCAAAATACCTTTTCACATGTCTACCCTAGAAAACCTTTCAACATCATCAAGACCCTTCTCAGGTTACCCTGAACTTTCCTTTTTTGAGAGAAATGAGCCTTTTCAATCTTTCCTAACAATAAAACCTTCCAAATCATGTTGCTCCATTGTGATAACTAACACATGTGGTTGTGGAAGACATGGGATTTGGTACTAACTTTTTATTGGCCTGCCTGAAATGTCTATAAATCATATTTGCAGCAGGGCCTTTGGTAAAGTGACAAGAAGAAGAAATTCTACTCTTCTGTTCTCCTCTCTGCCCTGCCACCTGAAGAAGGAGCAGACTCCAAAAGCTTGTGTCTTCAAATAAACCTGTTGGACTACAACCTGGTGTCGTGTGATTTTTGATCTTGTCCACCCCAGTCCAACACCAGCATCTCCACATCTTGCCTGCCCTAACCTCAGTTGTATTTTCAGACCAATTGGGTTTGGCTGATCCAGTTTATGTGTATTGTATTCGGCTCACATCGGGAGCCTCCCACTTGTAGTTGCAGAAACATATTATTTGAAATGATTAAGTGGAGTTTTTTGCTTAATTGTATTTATTGATTGTAAATAAGGCACTACAGTGAGCACTCTTAATTTTAAAGGGAGTTTATTGTAGTGAATGAGGTTATATTAAATTAAATACATCCTTTTACACTCTCTTGTGTTCTCGTGCAGACTCTTTATGTTCCTGATCCAGAATACGTTTCCAGTGTGGACAGTTCACCATCATTGAGTCCAGTCAGCCCTTTGTCACCAACTTCTTCAGAAACAGAGTTTGAGAAACCTATGGTAAGAATGGGAGAGGTGAAAGTATCAAATATATACAAGTTGAAAAAGGATAAAAATCAGCTGATAGGTTCTTTACTCAGAGAGTAGTAAGGGCGTGGAATGCCCTGCCTGCAAAAATAGTAGACTCGCTCACTTTAAGGGCATTTAAATGGTCATTGGATAAACATATGGATGATAATGGAATAGTTTAGGTTAGATGGGCTTCAGATTGGTTTCACAGGTCGGCGCAACATCGAGGGCTGAAGGGCCTGTACTGCGCTGTAATGTTCTATGTTCTATGATGATTAAGATCTCAGGCTGGAAAAGATCAGATTTTAGGGGACTAAAAATTGGAACACGCGTTTTGTTCTATTATACCATTTGTATGATCTCCTGATCTCTCTGCCTATAAATTCTGTGCTTATATGCTTTTCTTCACTTCATTTGATGATTGGGCAGTGCTTTGAAAGCTTGCGATTTGAAGTAAACTTGTTGGACTGTAACCTAGTGTTGTGTGACTTCTAACCTTTGGTAAATAAAAGAGTTCTTGAAAAATGGGAGAATTTCAAAAGATGAATAGGGCATGAGCTAGGTATGTGCCCACGAGAAATAAATACAGGATTTTCAAAGCTGCAGCGCCCTAGGTAACTAATTATATTGAAATGGTATCGTATGCATACCATAATAATATGTTATGGACCATACCAGTTCCCCTCTCAGCTTATCGAGGAGGTAGCCTAGACCCTAACTTTTAACTTATTTAAAGGTGAGTTGTAAGGCACTGTGTTCCAGGTATGATTTGATTGGTCAAAGTATTACGCTTTAAGCAGAACACGCTTTATTCTTACACCGTAGTTAAAACATAAACGAAAGAAAGAAGAATCAGCATAACTTTAACCCTTAGGATAATTAACAAAATAATATGTAATTAAATAATACTCATCAACTGTTCCAATATAGTAGCATCCTATAAATGCTCAAAGTCAAACTCAGCAAAACAGATTTCGTTCAGTTGCTATCTCCTCCAGTCCAGGAGAAGGAATACCAACAGAATGAATCTAGCAGCAGAGAGCGAGAGCTGTATCTTACAACTTCAACTCCAAAAACCCCAACTTCAACAACTCCAAGAAAACTAAAACCCTGGGTCTGTGTGAACCTCCCACTCATGCTTCTTTTGTCTATTTTAAAGAAAAACACACAAAGCTATTTACTCTCTTTCCATGCAGCAGACACCTTGACACCAGGTTTACAACATCTCTCTTAAGAGACCAGAACAAACAAATCCCTCTTAAAGGCACATATTGTCACAATAGCAATAGAAATCAAAATGAGTTTCTCAAATGCAGGAGAGAGGCAAAGGCTGAGGAAAGCATAAGGAAAGGATGTAAGGTTGCGCAAAAGAAATAATAAAATGTTCTTCAAGCATATTAATAGGAAAATGTTAGGGAAGGATAGAGTGGGGCTCATGAGGAACAAGCAGGGTAAGCTGCTCACTGAAGCAAAGGATATGACACAGGTATTAAATTAATATTTTGCTTCACCTTTACCAAATTCGAAGATGGTGACAATGGCCTAGTTGAAAATGTGGATGTTCGGCAATTGAGCGATATTGTGATGGATAAAGAAGAGGTGCTAAATTGGTTAACAACACTGCAGGTAAGGAAATCACCAGACCTGGATGGAATACATCCTAGATTGCTGGGAGATGTAAGGGAGCAAATTGTGAATCTGTTGACAAATTTTCCAGGTCTTTCTGAACATAGAATTAGTCCCAGGGCACTGGAGGATTGAAGATGTGACGCCTTTGTTTAAAAAAGGGGCAAAGGATAACCCAGAAAATTGCAGACCTGTCAGCTTGATACCAGTAATGGGAAAACTGATGGAGGCCATAATGCAGGATAAGGTAAATATACACTTGGAGAAAAATAAGTTAATGCTAGACAGTTGGCATGGCCATGTCAAGGGAAGGTCATGTCTGACAAATGTAATTAAGTTCTTTGACGAGATGACACAGGCAGTGGATGAGGGTAGTGCTGTGGATGTTGTATATTTGGACTTGTGGAAAACATCTGATACTGTGCAGGTTGGTTAGCAAACTAGAAATGTCTGGGATTGGATGATCCTTGGCGGCATGTGTTAGAAGTTGGTTGAAAGGTAGGAAACAGAGGGTGGATATAGATGGGCATTTCTCAGATTGGAGACGAGTTGAAAGATGTGTTCCAGAGGGATCAATTTTGGGATCCTTGGTTTTTCTGACTTGTATGAATGATTTAGAGAGAGGGTTGAGGGCAAAATCACTAAATTTGCAGGTGATACTAAGCTAGGACAAATAGTGAATTGTGAGGATAATACTAAGCAACTTCAGAAGGACATTGACAAGTTGGCTAAATGAACAGACAACTGGCAGATGAATTTCAATGCACAAAAGTGTGAGGTAATGCATTTTGGTAAAAGAAACATGGAGAGACAATACAGGCTCAATGGTACAATTTTGTGCGGTGTACAGGAGCAGAAGGACCTTTGGGTTTCACACGCATGACTTTCTGAAGGTAGCCAGGCAAGTTGAACAGTTGTTAAGAAGGCATATAGGATCTTTGGGTTTATAAATAGAGGCATAAAGTATAAAAGCAAAAAAAGCATGCTACACCTCTACAAAGCAGATCATATTCGGAGAATTATATTTAGTTCTACTCACCTCATTTAAGGAAGGATGTTAAAGTCCTGGAGAGAGTTCAAAAGAGATGTACTGGAATGATACCAGGAATGTGGGATTTTAGATGTAAGGAATGATTAGAGAAATTGGACTTTTTCTCCTTGGAGCAGAAAAGAATGAGAGATGACCTCATTGAGGTGTTATAAATTATGAACAGTTTTGACAAGATGATAAAGGATATTCTATTTCTACTTGTTGATATGTCAGTGTTATGGACCTTGCCAAATCCCCTGAAAATGTTTTAATAAGGTAGCCGAGACCCTAACTTTTTCTTATTTTAAAGGTAAATATGGAATGCTGTTTCCAGATACAATGCAACTGGTCAAACTACTCGACATTAAGCAAAAACACAATTTACTTAAATACTGTACTTAAAATACAAACAAAAAGAAAAAATAGAATAACTTAACTCTATTGGAAAACATAGCCAAATATTTTTTACATTAACTACGACAAATTAACTATTCCAATATAATAACATCACAAACAGCCCTTGAAAGGCAAAGTCGGACAGGTTCTTACATGCAGTTCTCCAATCCAGGAAAGAAAGGTCAAGAGAAAATTGAGACAGAGTAGCAGCCAGGAGACATTTACTGAAGCTTCCAACTCTTTTGAGACCCCAACAGCTTCTGATGCTACTGAACAACCAAAACCCAGAAATGCTGATCTGAGAGCTGGCCACATCCATTCAGGCTGTTTTCAAAAAAAAGCCCAAGGGCTGCCAAGTGTTTCCTCGAGTGGTCTTTGTAGACTGCTTGGTGCCGGTGCCTTTGCCTCACAATCTCTCTTCTAAAAAAAAATACAAAATAGCCTCATAAAGCCACAACATCATCACACCTCCCCTCCCTTAAAATAAATGAACTATCAATATACAAAGATGGCTTCATTTTTAAAAACCCGTAGCCTTACTCTATTAATACACTACAATATATGTACATTACATGCAAGCATTTACTACTACTGTCTATTTCGGTCCACTTATTCCCACCGTTGAACACCTCCGTCTTCTTTACCAAAGTTGCGACAACAAATCAACAATTACGTTCTCTTGTCCTGCCATGTGTATAATTTTCAAATTGAATGGCTGAAATAAAAAGCTGCAACTAAACAATCTGCAATTTTTGTCCTTGAATTTCTCCGAAAGCTTTTAATGTGTTATGATCAGTGTATACAATTGTCTCGGATATATTACTGGCAAAATAAATGTTGAAATGTTGAAACACTAACACCAAGTTCAAGGTTTCCTTCCCAATTGCGAAATCTTTCTGTTGATGATTATTCAAGTGTCCGGAAAAATACCCAATAGATGTTTCTATCTTCATGTTGTTTTATATAGCACCAACACCCATATCACTCACATCGATAGCCACTTTGAATGGCTTTGTGTAATTAAGTGTGGCTGTCACTGGGGCAGTGGTTAACACAGCTTTCAGGCTATCAAATGCTTTCTGACAGTCTGCCATCTGCTGAAATTTTCTGCATTTCTTCAATAAGTCAGGCAGTGGAGTAACCACACTGCTCAAATTCGGTACGAACTTCCAATAAGACTCACTCAATCCCAGGAATCGTAGTATTTCCCTTTTCTTCGAATGAAGGGAAGCTCCCCAATAACTATTGTTTTTGCATCCCATGGGGCCATCTGTCCATGTCCACCGACATGGCCCAAGAACATGGCTTGGGCTTTTGCAAAATCACTCTTAGCCAGGTTTATCACCAAATGTGCTTCCTGAAGTTGATCGAACAATTCTGGTAGATGCTGCAAATGTTCCTTCTATGTGTGACTAAAAATCAATAGGTTGTCGATGTACACCACATAGTTGGGTAATCTAGAAATTACTTTTTTGTTTAGTTTTTGAAATGTGGCTGGCGCATTTTTCATTCCAAATTGCAGGACTTTAAATTTATATAGTCCATTTGATGTCATGAAAGCAGAAGTTGTCTTTGCTCTTTCGGATAAAGGTATATTCTCAATAAGCCCAACTTAAAAATACAATTTTCTTGTCCTACCTTTTCAATACAGTCTTCCAAATGTGGAAAAGAATATGAGAGAGACTTTGTAACTGCATTGACTCTGCCGTAGACCACAAATAATTGTTAGGTACCATCTGGTTTTGGCACCATTACTATGGACGAACTCCAGTTGTTACAGTTATGTTGTCTTTGAGCATACGTTCAATCTCTTTTTGAACCTGTGCCAACTTTAGAGGGTTAAGTCCATAAGGATGTTGCTTAATTGGAACAGCATTTCCTATATCTACATCATGCATAATTAGATTACTATTTCTCAACTTATTCCAACATGTGATTA